CTCAGTCGCCCTGAAAACACCCCAAAACGCCCCAGTTCAGCTGCTCTGGGCCGGGGACCTCGCACCTGTGGGAACGCGCCTGGGAGCAGCACCCGGGAGCTGGGAGAAGGGAGGGAATAGGAATGGCTGGGAAAAGCGCAAAAACAAGCAAAGGCAAAGGAAAAAGGGGAAGGAAGGGGGGATAGGAAAAGACAAGGGAAAAGGGGAAAAATTAAAAAAAAGGTTGAAGGGGAAGAAGGAGAGGTAAGAAAAAAACCAGAAAAGATGAGAAAAAAAGCAGAAAAAAGGGAAAAGGCAAGAAAAAAGAAAGAAAGGAAGAAAGAAAGAAACTGAAGGAAGAAGGGGGAAGGTCGAGAAAAGCAAACAAGACAAGAAAAATGGGGGAAGGACAGAAAAAGGAAAATGCAAAGGGGAAAAAAGGCAAAATAGGGGAAGATGAGAAGTGTTGGACAATTAGAAAAAAGGCGGGGAAAAAAAAGAAAAGACAAGGAGAAAGAAAAAGAAAAAATGCCAGCCTGTGGTGGTTTGACCTGGGCTGGAGACCAGGTGCCCCCCAAACTGCTCCATCCCTCCCCTCACCTGCACAGAGCAGAGGAAATACAAGGAAAGGCTCCTGGGGTGGGATAAAGATGGGAGGGGTCACTCACTGCCCCATTACTGTCACAGGCAGAACAGACCCGATTTGGGGAAATTAGTTGAATTTGTTAGCAATCAAATCAGAGCAGGGGAATGAGAGGTCAAACAAATCCTAAAAACACCTTCCCCCACCTCTCCCTCCTTCCCGGGCTCAACTCCATCCCTGCTTCTCTCCCTGCTGCCCTCCATTGGCACAGGGAGATGGGAATGGGGGTCACGGTCAGTCCATGCCACGCTCCGGGCTCTGTTCCTGCCCCTGGGCACCTGCAACCCCCTGGGCACCTGTGACCCTTTCCCAGCACCTGCATCCTCCCAGCACCCACATCCCATCCCCAGCACCTCCATCTCTTCCCCAGGCCCCACATCCCTCCCTGGTACCCACAGCCCCCCTCAGCACCCCCGTTCCTCCCTGGTACACCTGCGGGTGACACTGGGCTCTCGCCCTGTCCCAGGGGGTCACTGGCACAGGTCAGTCCTATCCTCTGGCAGCTCAAGCTGCTGCCTCACCAGGGGATCCCGAATAAAGAAATCCCTGGGCAAGGACACCCCAACAAGCTCCACTGCTCCTCCCTCAGCCCAGACCAAGAGCATTATCAGGGCCTGGAGGCTTCTCACTCTCCGTTGCTTTGCTGTTTCTTCCCAAGGGGCTGCCACGTGCTCAGCTTCACCCCCTCTGAGGGGAGTTTTGGGGGGTCATTGGACTGCAGTCCATGGTGGAACATGGTGGTTACAGCTCATGCCCCGCCATCCATGGGCTGGAAGCTGCAGCTTTGTGTATTCCAAAGACTGGGCATGTTCCAACCAGCAGCTCCAGCTTTCCCTTGGATCCATCTCTGCCTGACACAACACAGAGAAAGTTCATCCCGCGGCCTCACAACTCCAGTTCTTTATGTCAAGCAAGCACTGAGATGCTTTCCAATGGAAAATGTTCCACACGGAAGGCCTGGAAGCTGAGTGGGTTGGTTCCATATCAATCACATGCCTTGCACCCCCCTCCTCAAATGTCTGGCCTGAGTCCACTGACCCTCCCCAGACTGCTGGGCAGCTGGAGGCTTAGAAGAAAGTTGGGGGCAACCCCCATCCGGTGCCCCCATCCCATGTCATGGGGCGCTGCCCCTCGGGGGTGTTCCCTGCCAGGGTCTGTCAGGTACGTGGGCAATGGCACCCTGGGGTGAAGCCGTGAGACCCCTGGGGTGTGGAACAGAGCAATGGAGGGGCTGCAGGTGTGATGTGGATGTGGGTACAGGTGTGATGTGGGTGGGTAAAGTTGTGATAGGATGTGGGTGCAGGTGTGATGTGGATGTGGGTGCAGGTGTGATATGGGTGGGTACAGGTGTGATGTGGATGTGGGTACAGGTGTGATGTGG